AAATTAACTGACGAATAACTATATAATAAAATAAAATTTTAAAAGTAAAACAAAAAATCTCATGAGCGCTTGAAATTCTTTCTCAACCCATACACGTTACCAAAGAACCCCACCAAATCCTGCCTGTACGGCAGATACGACCGCCGCCTATCGCCGCCGCTCCGACGGTACGGCGGGGCTTCCGCCACCGCCCGCTTTTCATCTCCCCCTTTCACGGCGCTGTTGGTGTGGGTCAAAAGTACAATACTGCCCTTGCTCCTCTCGCTTTGGCTCCTGCGCACGAGCTCCTTCACATTGAACTTCCACCTCTTCGAATTCCCCCCGCCCGAGATGCTTTTCTCTCTCCGGCCGTCCTCCGCCGAAGGCTGCAGCGGCAGCGGAAGCGGCGAATCGTCGGCCTCCGACGAGGACGAGCTCGAAGACGCCGTCAGTATCGTCGTTCCCCTTTCCTCGATAAACAGATCCCTAAGCGGGTGGCGAACCCTAGGACGGCCCGAGCCCGAACTCTGGCCAACGTCACCCCCAATTTCGTTTCCATGTTGAAATTTCCCCTGACGCCCTAACAGATCGCTGTTGAAAACAGGGTAAACGGGTCGGATCTTACCGTTCTGGAATACCTCGTCAGCCGGAATCGGAGACGACGATTCCGATCCCCTCGTCGCGAACGCGAAATCGCAATCCTCATCTCGATCTCCGGAATCCGCCTCTGGATTCCGATTTTCTGAAATTCCTGCTCCTGGTTGATCGGCCTGCGCTGGATTTTCAAGCATTTGGGAGTAGAAGTCTTCATAGAATTCAGCGGAATCGAATTCTCCGGCGACGCGCGCGGCGATTCCGGCGAGTCTGGGATTGGAATAGCTGTTGAAGCTGGGGGAGAGGGGGATCAGAGGACCTGCCTGCATTTTGAGAAAACGCTTGGTAATGGCGGAAAAAACCTTGAGTGTGTGTGTGTTTTGTGTTGGTTGAGAGGAAGAGGAAAAGTGGAAAGTGTGGTGAATTCGGGGAGGTTTTAAAGCAAACGGCAACGGCGAAGGCCGGAGAAAATATGTTGTGGTATTGATTTTGTTTTGTGTAGTGTTTTGGAAAATGAGAGTTATAATAAGTGGGCGTGAATGATTAATGTAGGCACCGAATTGGTTGTAGTACAAAAACGAAAAATGGCTTAAAGCTATATGACTAGGAGCCATCAATAATGTCGTCACAAGTAAACAAAAATAATTCATTTGTCTATCAATTGCTTAGGGTTATGCATCATGTTCTAAGTTATCCAGATCGAACCAAGAAGATAAGGTTAGGTCGACATCACAAGTGAAGATAATTGTTGAATTCAGCTCGATATCGAAAACTTATTAAATGACCTAATATATAATGTTGAATTGCTAGTATTATCAAACAAACTATCAAGCTACATTATATCCACGTGTCTTTACATGAGTTTCGAATGAATACCATTCGATTGAGTTATAAAAGAGATGAGTCACAAAAGATCGAGATTTCAATGAATTGAAAAGAGGTAATCTCAATCTATAAATATATATGATTAGGCATTCAAAAGCTCTAATTAAACATTTTAGATTACGCATGCAACATATATACTAGTTTTTCTTACATATTTTTTTGTATTTGAGTGTCGAAATATTTATATAAAAAACCATTAGGACATTTTACAGGTGATTGAAGACTAAGTTGGAACAAAGAAAAAAGTTAAGAACCCAAATTATTTAAGGTGGTGCACATTAAGTTCATTTATATAATTCATATTGTCATTATACTTGTTTGTCACATTATTGAATGAATGCATTAATTAAGTGCAGCTGAGTTGCAAGTTAGACAATCAAGTGTACTTCGCGAGCAAGTAAAGGGGGGAAAACAAGATAATGGGCTATTGAGTGTGTGGGAAAATGCTTTGTCTGTTTGTTTTGATCAGATTATGATTTTTTTTATTCATGTAACATACTTTAACAGCCTATTGTAACGTTGCACGTTCATTGAAAATGGGAAATTTTGATTGNAACTTGGGATTTATTTTAATTTAATTCTTTAACAAAATAAATGTGCATGTGACTACCTTATATCTAATATTATAAAAATCCATATTAAATCATTTTTTTAATGTTATGGCATTTTTACCATTTTCCAATACATGCATCCAAGACATTTAAGAAAATTAATGGTTAGCTGAAAAATATTGGATGCTGCAATACTAAGGTTTAACTAGTTAGTGAAAGTGAATTAAAAGTTGTGCTTCTGAATTATACTTTCACAATAATTAAGCCTAGGTCAAAATAAACATAGCTAGAAGCTGGTTTACCATTAATGTCTTAAAATTAATTGGCTACAAATTTGGCCTTTATATGGTATGAAAGATCATAAACTGAAACAGTTCAAACTTAAATTATGGTATGAATAATGTTAATACATGTGTGTATATATAGCATATACCATTACTAGTGAGAATCATGTGCGATGCACGAGAGTTTTGTACTTTAAAACATTTTTTAAAATTAATAATATATTAGCTCGCTGATTTAACATATAAATTTATTTTTTAATATAGAAGCATAATCCTTTTAAATATTTTGGTTCATCATAATACTCAAGTATCATTTTATTTAAAATTATAATTTAATGTCATATAATGACATTATTATATTAACACTTATAGAAGTAATTTTTTTATATATATAATGATAAATATTTAATTTATATTAATATTAGTTATTGATGTAATTAATTTAAAAATATATGAGCAAATTTAATGTTAGTTAGGAATGCGATTATATTGAAGTTAAGATAAAATGAAATGTATAAAAAAAATATGATATTTTCCTTTCAATCTTTGAATGAATCTGAAATTCAAATTACAAATCAACCGCCATTTTTTCAAAGAATTTCAAAAAGATTACCAATTATAGTAAAATCTAATTTTTAGGCGGGATTTTACTTTTTACTTAAAGTAAATTCCTATTACTATTTTATAGTAGTAGATTAGGTAAACTAATGATGTGGTACGAGTAGAAGACGAGTTTTTCCGTTGAAATCGTTGGAATGATTTTCGTCAGTCGAACTCAAAAGTAAAAACGGAGATAGCCTTTTTTCCCTTGAACTTAAAATCTCTATTATAATATATTTCGTGATGAGTCTCACATGGGCGTATAGTGACTGTAACAACAAATTTTATGAAAAATATAAAACTTTTGAGGTGTTGGATTTTTTGAGGTGTCTTGGGTGTTAGATTTTTTGAGGTGTCTTTGGTGTGATTTGTGACTTTGAGAAGAACCCTATTTATAGGTGTAAGAAGAAAGAGTCTAAGACATCAATTTAATTGATCCTTCTTGATTTGATATAATCTCTTTCTTTATCCTAAAATTTGATAAAATTTCTTTTCTAATCTTAAAATTTGACTTGGTGGACCAGAAATAATAACATTATTAATTATATATCTTATTTATTATGGATTTATGTTCAAAAAATTAATAAAGATATTAATTAATAAAATATTAAAATTTCGATGTCTACAGTGACTATTATGATAGAGATGATACATATGAATGAATGCAATTATGTCGGTCATCTTTGTGAAGACTTCATACCAAACACGTAAAACAAATTATGTTCGTGCATATAAACCAATATTCATATGTAGCATTTTTCATAAAAAAAATGTATTAATTGATTAAAAATAAAATAAGTAAAATATGGAAAAGGATATGTCCTCCCACTTGCACTATAGAGGATAATTAATCAAATTATCTCTAACTATAACATTGTGCTGGCTAAAACAGCGGGCCGGTCCGCCCTGTCCACCATACAGTCCATTGTTTAGATGGAACGTGCAGCCCACGTTCTCTAAATTGCTTTCTGTAGATGGTACTCGACCTCAAGCCCTTATCAAGACGTCGAGCTCGACTCGTTTGTCAATATTAAACGAACCAAAGAAAATTATATAAAAAAAATTACTTTTTAAGCCTTATAGAGTTAACTAAACAGACTTTAAACAAACTCGAGTTCGTCTTGTTTATCAAAGGAGCTCTCTTAACAACACATCAAATATCGAGCAACTAGGCTCTATAATTTTTGTGATACTATGTAAAGTTTCTCTCTTATCAACACATCAAATTAGAAAAAAAAACACATCAAATATCAGAGCGAAGAGAAAGACCAAGGACCCCGAACCAGAGTTATTGACCTTGACCCAGAGTTACTGGATAAACACATCATCAAACCCTTATACCAAATGAAATATCATAAACCAGAACAGAACAGCTGCTTACAGATACTCTATGTGATCAATTCACAGAAGCATTACAGTAAAAGCAGAACTCTTGAAATACATACAATGTGCAGGTGACTTTCCGAATCTTGTAGTACCTCGCTAGTCGAAATAGTTCAAATCATTCCTTTAATTGCTGAAAAGTTCAAATCATTTCCTGTGATTGTTGCTTTCATCTGAAGCAAATAACATAAAATTCTGTCTAAATTAGCTTATATACACATGGATTTCTTGCAAAAAAATAAAAAATCAGAAAAACCATACGGTATGGGCAAAAAAGAACCGACACGTTCTGAATTTGAGAGAGCAAAATCTGAATACGACAATAAAACATGGAAGTTCATAACAATTTGTCAAAATGGTGAATTGTAATTAACCGAGGCCTAGATAGACCTTCAGACCAGGCATAGCTTCGGAAAATATATCTTTTTACCAAAATCGACGTTTTTTTCTTGAAGTATATGTTGAATTTTTTGTTGCTGTACAAAAGATTCCAGTGTTAGTAAGCATTCAACAACTAACAACCTAAACAAAAGCATCATCAAAGACTTAATTACACAGAAATTAGAATCTTAGTTTGAATTGGATATTAGGATGATGTACGTGCGCTGCGCAGCTAATACACATACCTTCCGTTCGTAAAACTCTATGATTCTGAGCAGCAACTTGTCTCCCACAATATGTCTTGTGTGCTCAATCAGTTCGGTCCTCGTTATTTTCTTATTCTGGTACATTGAAGTTAAATCTACTAATAAAAAATTAACCCTTCACCAATGAAGAACATTACGAATATTCTTACAAAAATGTACCTTAAAATCATCATGATGTTTTGTGACCAATTCAACCGCATCAAAAGGTAAGTACTTGTCAAGAATATTAATCAAAATCGGATAAGGCAGCCGATTTGGACTCAGTTGTCTAATTCGGAACCCTACAAAACGTCGTTATACGGTACAATTTCGTTCATCTTTAGGAGAATGTATTAGTACTTCTATTTTTTTGTTTCTATTTTCTTCAATCTCCGTAAGCCATCTTCTTTCCTGCTCCACTTTCGTGTTTTAATGACTCCGTAGGATGAATGACATGATTATTTCATATTTGTACACGTGTCAATCATCCGAACACGAATGAAACATGAAAGTAGAGCAGAAAATCTAACCCATCTTCTTGATATTCACATACTAAGCATACAACAAAAAAACAACTAAAAAAATTTACCAACGTAAAAGACTCTGGTGACTAATCTTTACCTCTGCACTTAAAGGACAATGCTCGGAAACTGACCGAAAACTCAGGCAATATATGTGTGTTCATACGTGGTGTCCACACGACATATTTCTTAGGGTCCACGGCATTGTCGACCCCAGAATCGAACTCTTCGGAACTCAGAATATTTTGTTCAGAACCGGGACAAACTACCTCGGTTTTTCCCAATATTACACGGCACAACAACATGTGTCTTAGGCCATTCACATCAGGCAAAGCCGAATGCACACTGAATACATATTACCAAACATAAATAAATATTTACAATTCACAATCACAACTACTTACTAAATCTTGACAAATCAAAGAAGTTCCATGAGAAGAACAAAGAAAGATTGTACCTTTCCATAGGATGATTAACCGAATAGAGCCAAACCCCTTGACCGTTTGTTCGACGAGTCGTGGGAAGCCCGAAACCATGAGAAATAACCATATCAATCTCATTCTTGGAGGCACCAAACCAAGCACACTTCACATTTGCACTCCCACCACACTTCCCTCTCACAGCACTCGAACACAAGCTAAAGGATTCAACTTTCGCGCGGCCCATAATGTCTGAAAACCGGTTCTTGCGAATGGACTCGACCCGCACTTCGAGCCCACAGGCGCTCAACCTCGACACGAGCTTTTGCTCGATGGCTTCGCGAATCTCCTCACATTTGTGATTTTCAAAGGAATCGACTTCAAGGGCGCTTAACCGGGCTCCATTGTCTGTGGGCCCATAAATCCCGCTTTCGCAGTCCGATGGGTAGGAGTCTTGTTCGAGGTAGGAATTCGTGGTGTGTGTGGTATTATCGTCATGTAAAGGTGCCGACGTTTGAGCTAAAGGCTTTGAGTTTTCGTGATAGCTACCAACTGAGCTCATGACTGAAAGGAAAGTTTCAATCTGTGTTTCTTGCTAAGGAAATTGTAGGGAAAGAAAGAGACCAAAAGAAAATATTTATGGAAAGTAAAAAATGATTACTTGATCCACAATCAAGAAAGTTCCTACAAAAAACTTAGACTAAAACAAATAACATTTCATGACCGATTCCTGATAAAAAAAGACATCTTTAAACACAAGAAATGGAGAAAATAAGAGAGAGAGAGAGAGAGAGAGAGAGAGAGAGAGGATGAATCTGAACAGAAAACTTTAAAAAAGCTAAAAATCCAAACCCAGAAAAAAGGCTAGAATTATATCCACAAAAGGAATCAACAATAAAGAAAAGAACTCAGGACTTCGTTTCATGAACGACTGACTAAAAAGATGCCAAAAAGAAGGGGGAAGAAATTAGAATATCAAACGCAGGAGCTAGCTAGAGGGAAATTGTTTGCATGGGCTTTGTTACATATTTGAAGAATGAAAAGAAAAAGAAAAAAGGGCCTTTTAGGTTTCTTGGGGGAGAGGAAATTATTTGAGTTCAAGCAGCAGAAAAGTAGTAAAGGCCCAAAGGAAAGAGAACCGCTGCTGGTTTTTTTCACTTAGCCAGGAAAAAAGGGCTATTTTTGGGCGGTGAGTGCGAGTGAGTGTAGTTGAGCAGCAAGTGGTTTTAGAGTTTACTATATCGGGGTTTGTGCAGGATTCTCGTGGTTGCGACGCGTGGCACATAGTTGGCTTTTGGTTGGGCCGATTTAATGGGATATCCGATATATGGATAGTTTAGTTGGGCTCTATGCCCCCATAGCCCAAGCGATATTCCAGATCTTAGTTTAATGTTTAAGCGAGTTCTGGATCCAAGCAATCGGTTTGCTCTTCTTCAAAAGAGAAAAAAAAAACCCAAACGTAACCCTAATTTTGTTCTATATATACTAACCACACAAGCGCACACACAACACAGCGACTAGATTTTTGCACTCCTCAATATGCCCTTCATTTGCTTCTCAATTCTCTGCTGATCCGTCACAACAAAGATTTGAATTGAGAATTTCACCGAGACCTCGTTCGTAGTTTTTTGGTAGAAAGGTAACATTTTTGTGCAAAAAAAATGTGCCTATCCATTTATAAGATGTTTCATTTTGGATAATGTGCTTGTTCCTTGGGTTTTTACTGCGATCCTTTTGCTTTAGAATTTGTCTTTCGTTCAAATGTTCATATAACGTAAAGAAATAACCTTTATAATGTTGGGAAAAAAATCAGCCATATATGCCTTTGAGTTGATTTGTATTGTCAGCTCCTTTTGTTGTGTCTGTCAGATTAGGGATCATAGGTGTCAGAAGTTCAGAAATTTATTTGGAGAAATCTATGAAAAACGTTGGGCTGTTGATTTTTTTTTTAGTTTAATTCTCTTTGCTATCTGTGTATCGGGCCTTCAGCTGATTTGGGAAATATATGCATTTGCTTGTCACATATTCCTGCTACAGCACGATGGGAAGTTAATTGTAGTTCCCGGTTCAGCTTTCTTTGTGCCTTTTGTCATTCAAGTGCTTTTAATTGTCCTTTTCAGGATCTTGAAATTGATGGCGGTTCCATATTCAAACTGCTTTCAACTGCCAAAAGTTCGTTCAAATTACGGTCTTGTTAGCTCCTCCAGTGGGCTCTGTACTCGCTTCAATCCTGTATATGCTTGTGTTGGAGCGTCCAACCCAGCTTCACATTTAGAAGCGAAGGTATCTGGGTTTGGCTTTTATTTATAATCTGCATATGATAATTTCATCTGTTTATTGTCTTAGGATAATGTTGTTGTTGTTGTTGGGACTAAAAGGCTATGTTGTTGTTGTTGTTGTATTGTCTTAGGATAATGTAACATATCTTGACATGGGACAGTACTATCTTTGAGATTGTTGATAATGGGTTCAAGTGTTTTCAGTTTTAATTTAGGGTTCATGCTTAGTTGGTCATGTGTATTGCTGTCATTACTTTTCTCAGTCCATTTGTGTACTGGTTTTGGACACCAGATGTTAGTCAGGTGTTCACTATTTTCCAATGGTGAATGCTGTTACATATCTGGGAAAAAAATTATGGAGAACGGTAGGTGATTGATGGGTTTCTCATCTGTCATCGAGCTTTCTCTTGGAGGTGTTCATCGTTGCCCAATAATTCCATCTTATAATTATTTGAGCTACATCTGGACCCCACATTGCTTAATTTTGAATGCTTAATTAGTTATATCATGATTTAAATTCCATTTCATGGATTTCACCAGACATAGGCAGGTGTCTACCGCTAACTTAGTTGCGGAGACCGTTGAATGTCTGGTAAAGAAGATAGAGCATGCATAGTTGCTTGATGATCTAACTTCAATGATTATTTGAGTTACATCTGAATGCCACATATCAAGAGACAATAATTTTATATTTTAAAATATTGTGAATCTGATGTGTACTTGATTGGAAGAAATGCTTGCTTCATTGAATAATGAGCTTGTAAGGTGATTTGAGTTATTAGGTTGTAGTTTTTGAGTTTGAATTAGTGTTTCAATGTGATTTCTGTGGGGCCATAAAATGTTGCCTGGCTTTTTTAAGATTCCTATCCTTTGACCTAAGTGGATTTTCCAGACAAAAGGCAGGTGTCTAATGCATTTCTGGTTGCATTGACCGTTGAATGTCTGGTATATGAAGTAAAGTGTTCATTGTTGCTAGATGATAATTTCATTATCACCATAGCTACATCTGAACACCACATATTAAGTAAATTCTTCCTTGAAATTGGGTGAATTAGTTTATTTAGTATGGAAAGTGTTGAGGTTTTTTATATTTATTGCCAAAATATAAGTTATTGAATGAATGATTTTATCAAGAATATTATTTCAATATCCAGCAATCTTGCTAACTTTTGCTCATTGTTTTAAATAGTCATATGATAAATACTCACCCAGCTCAATAATCACCTATTGATATATGGAAATGCTGATTAATACATATTTTGCCTGTTTTTAGCTATGGGCAGGTATTATATTGTGGTAGTATCTGGTCTGTACTATGGAATTGTCTTGTGGTATGTTTATTTTTGTTTTGTTTCTAACTAAATTAATATAGGTTGATCCCTTTTTGAATAGTGTCAAATGGGATGACAAAGGTTTGGCAGTGGTGATTGCTCAAAATGTGGACACAGGAGCTGTTTTAATGCAAGGTTTTGCTAATAGAGAAGCCCTTTTGAAGACGTTTTCCTCCAGGAAGGCAACATTTTATAGCCGGTCTAGGTCAACTTTGTGGACAAAAGGAGAGACCTCGATGAATTTCATCAATGTGTGTGACATCTTTATTGATTGTGACCGTGATTCTGTAAGTAATTGACGATATTTGTCATTTTTGGTGGATCTTGTGAGATTGTCATTGGTGTTGATATTGTGTTATTATGATAACCGCTACTTTTTATTTTTCCAGATAATATATCTTGGGAAGCCTGATGGACCAACTTGTCACACTGGAGCAGAGACTTGCTATTATACATCAGTTGATGAAGTTCTAAATGATTCACAGGTGACTCATCATTTATATGTAGTTGGCAGTCGAGCTGTGTCCTTTTGTGTTTTCCCTTTTATACGGCTTTAATTTAAAGCTGAAATTAAAGAAAATAAGTCATTTTTGGTTTTCTGCATCACTTTAAATGTAACTATTTCACATTGTTGCTCTTTTGTAGGTTGATGGGAATAAACTTGCTTTAACAACTTTGTACTCATTAGAGTCAACTATATCAAAAAGAAAAGACGAATTGTCTGGAGATGCAGATGGAAAGTCATCCTGGACTAAACGTTTGTTGCTTGATGAGAAGTTACTGTGCTCAAAAATCAGGTGTGTTTTTACTCAATTGTTCTACATGCAATCATCTATTTAAGTTCTGGTGTGCTAAAAACAAAAAACTCTATTTGTTTAAAAAATTACAAAATCTCATCAACATATACTTATTTTATAATACCCTCTTGATTTTCAACAGAAAATGGAATCTCTTTATCCTTCTCTTTTTCCTTTTGCAACCACTTTTAAGTCTCTGGTAAATTACAATTTTAATACTGGTTTGTGTAATTGTTCTAAACAAGAGTTCTATACCTTCCATATTTTTTTTTTTCTTTTGAAAGGGAGGAGGCAGATGAGTTGTGCTGGACACTTGAGGAAAATGAGGATAAATCGAGGACTGCCTCGGAAATGGCTGATGTGCTCTATCACGCCATGGTTTTATTGAACCTCAAAGGGGTCAAAGTTGAAGATGTTCTTCAAGTTCTTCGATTAAGATTCTCGCAATCTGGCATCCAAGAAAAGAGCAGCCGAAAACTGAAGTGAAGGCCTAATTTTTTTTTTCAATGTTCATTTTTTTCTTACCCCCACATGCTTAATTTGCTCTTTGACAAAATCGATCACTACAGCTAGGAATGTTCTATATAATGAAGACTTTGGGTTTTTTTATTTTATTTTATTTTATTATTAGTGTTGACTTTGTAAATTGTGGCCTGCTTTTAATTTGATCTTGGGTCAAATGTATTTATGTTACTGTTGCATATTGATACTAATTATGCTTTTACTTCTACTTTGTCATTTTCTTCTCACTTAAATACCATCTCAGAGATGACTGTATGGTGGGTCAGTTACTGTTTTACTCTTACAAGATTTACTTGTTTGAGTCCAATTTCTGTTTTTTTCTATTTAATGATTGTTGTGTAATTTTGATGTAGTGTTGTGCTCATCTAAGGAAACAATACATAAATTTGAACATAATTTTGTAATAGAATATTTGATCGAGAATGGTTACGGTAAGGTACATAATTGAATTCTCTATGTTTCAATGATAAAATTGAGAGTAAATTTTTCTATAGTGACAAATAAATTGTTTGAGAAGTATGTGATAGGTTGATCTAATTATCTCAACTCAAATTTTGTAATCTTTAAAACTATATAATTAAAGCATTTGAAAGTATTTTGAGCAAAAGCGAGCATTATACTATACCTAGTGCTGTAAACGAACCGAATCGAATCGAATTTGGGTTGTTCCAGCTAGTGTTCGTTTACATTCGAACAATGTTTGTGTTCGTTTGTTTATTTTTCGAGATAAAAATCGTGTTCGAGCTCGATCGTTTAATTGTTCGTCTATTCCTTTTTTCGACCCATTTTTTACGAATATTTTAATACATAAACTTTTTAAATATGTTTTTTTTTTTTTGCAACGAAAGTTGGAACCTCTATTAGCACAAAGGAATAAACGTCTTACAATCGAAGGCCAACTAGCCCATAACAACAGAATAAACAATACACTGGAGAACCGCTACATCTAGCGGCCTAAATGCTAATGCATAATTGATCCCTGGATTAAGCAAACTCTAACATTTGAAGTCTTAATCCAACAATACAACTATAATACCGCAAAAAACACCCAAATAAACTACTGTGAACTTATGAACAAAGGAGAAGAAGACCACTGAACCTTAAGGAGTCTAGACTCTTTCCTCTTGCCAGTTCACAACAATCATCCTACAGCTAACCAAATTCAGACCAATCCTTCCATGCCGTTCTTACTATCTCTCTATCACTCATCCACCTATTTTGAAATATCCAGAGATTCCGAGCTTTCCAAAGCCACTATAGGAGAAAAGTCGAGAGTTGAATGCGCTCTTCCGACACATCAGAACTATCCAAGGTAGAAATAGTCCACCACCATTCCTTAAAAGACCCAACACTGAGATTGTGATTCCAAGAAACAGGAGAAAGTTGCCATACCTATTGGGCTCTAGGGCATCGAAAGAGCAGATGGTGGACCGTTTCTTCTGCAGCTCCACATCCCTTGCAAATACTATCCAAGATAATACCTCTTCTGTTAAGATTTTGGAATACAGGTAATGCTCCTGAAAAGCACTTCCATACAAAATGCTTAAGCTTTCCTTTAATATTGAGCTTCCAGCACCTCTCTCTAGCTCTTTCGTCCCTATGCCTTGCATTGCTACTCTCCGGTATGTCCCAACTGTTCATCTTGTCAGCCACTAAGTTTGGGTAGGTCCCCGCAACTGAAAAGTTACCTGTTTTTCCTTCAACCCACACCCATCTATATTTAAAATCAGGATTAAGTGTGCTTATCTTGAGGATGGCTTCACTGTCCTGAGCCTGAAAAGTATTCCTTACCAGGGATTCATTCCAACTTCTTTTGTCAGCTGCAATTAATTCTTTCACCCAATGCAACTGGGTCTCAGCAGGGTTGATAGGTTTAGTAATGACAGACTGAATTCCTGGGACCCAAGGATCAGCTCCCAGCCTAGTGTTAGCTCCATCTCTGACTTCTTTTCGGAAGTGATGTCTATGTCTCTGCAAGACTTTGACCCAGCTATTCCACATCCATGATGAGCTTTGTGATGTTTTAGCTTCCAGAATGCAAGTCTTAGCATAATATTTCTCCTTCAGGACTCTTGAAACAAGCAGGTTAGGTTTTGTGGCTAATCTCCAAATCTGTTTTAAGATAAGAGAGTCATTAAACAGTTGGACATCTTGGAAACCTAAGCCACCCCATTCCTTAGGTACAACCACTCTTCTCCATTCCTTCCAGTGAATGCTTGGTTTTTGGTTATCCCCTGAACTCCACCAGAATCTAGCACACAAGCTTGATAACTCTTTGCAAGTACTAACAGGTAATGAGAAGCAAGACATTGTGAACACTGGCAAGGCATTAAACACTGCTTTGATTAATACTTCTTTCCCAGCAGCTGATAAAAATCGATTTTTCCAGTTGATAATCCTTTTTTTGACAGCATCCAAAACAAAATCAAAAGTTTCTTTCTTCGATTTGCCAATTCCAAAAGGCATCCTCAAGTACCTAGATGATCTGTGAACACTTATTCCCTCAAGAACATTACAAATTTGAAGTTGCAACTGAGTATTGGTATTCTTGCTGAAGAAGATAGATGATTTAGAGAGGTTGACCTTTTGTCCTGTGAAGTTCTGATATTTTTGTAAGATTTCCAGTAAAAGTTGAGCCTGGGGAACTGTAGCTGCACTGAAAAATAAAGAGTCGTCTGTAAACAATAAATGAGTGAGGACTGTCCCCCCTCTGCAAATGGCAACCCCTTTAAAGAATTTTCTCCTAACTTCATCAGCAATCAATCTAGATAAAGCCTCAACCACCAGAATAAATAAGTAAGGGGAGATGGGATCCCCTTGCCTTAGTCCCCTTGTGGGTTTCACCAAGCCACAAACCCTGCCATTGACATTAAAAGAGAAGGAGGAAGTAGATATACAAACATAAATCCATTTCACAAATTTCGGATAGAACCCCATTTTCAACAATATCTTCACTATACTGTTTCACTCTAGTCTGTCATATGCCTTCATCATGTCAATTTTAACAGTCATGTACCCTGTGTTTCCAGACCTATGCCTATTCAAATAATGCATGACCTCCTGGGCTATAATGACATTATCAAGAAGTTGGCGCCCAGGAATAAAAGCAGCTTGGCTATGGCCAATCACCAAATTGAGGTATCCTTTCAATCTATTTGCCAGAATTTTTGAGATAATTTTATAGGCTACTCCACACAGACTAATAGGCCTGTAATTGTTTAAGGCTTCTGGGTTCATGCATTTGGGAATAAGGGTCATCAATGTATGATTCCAAGATTTAAGAATACAACCAGAGTTAAAGAAACTAGTGATTGCCTTACAGAGATCAGCTTTGATGACAGGCCAGAATTGTTGGAAGAAAATTAGGGACATCCTATATGATCCTGGAGCCTTCTGAGGGTGCATACTGAATAATGCTTTGCTAATCTCATCTTCAGTCACTCCTTGGATTAGTTTGTTGTTCATGGCCTCTGTGATAACAGTAGGGATAATTGAAATGATTTCTTCCTCACCCCTAGATCCTTCTGTTTGGAAGAGATGCTCATAATAATTGCATATGCACTGCTCAATCTCCTCATTAGTAACACAGGTTATCCCATTCTCTTCCACCAACCTCGATATTGCATTGGACTATCTTCTCTGAATGGTGAGCGCATGAAAAAACAGGGTGTTTTTATCACCTTCCTTAAGCCACTGTGATCTTGCCTTTTGGCTCCAAAACTGCTCTCCTGAGGAATAGGCTGCATCTAGATCTTTCTTAAGTTGTCTCCACTCTTCCCAATCCCTTTCGTTACCCTCCCTTCTCATGATTTCCATCTGTTTGGTAATTCTTTCAATCTTGTGCCTAAAATCTTTTTTGAGGCTTTTTCTCCACTTCAACAATGCTACCCGAGTGTTTTTTTATTTTTGTAAGAAAGCTGAACATAGGAGATCCTCTTATAGAAGTATTCCATGCCTGTTCCACTGTTTCTTTGATACCTTCCCTTTTAAGCCATCTCTTATCAAAATGGAACCTATTCCTTGGCTACAACAGTCCTTCAGGGTCAGTATCCAAGAGTAGCAAAGAATGATCAGAGGCACTTTTGAAAATATTGAAAACAACAGCATCTGGATATTTAGTTAGCCAATTGAAGTAACCAAAGCTCCTATCCAGCTTCTCTTCAATAAAACCCTCCATTTCCCTGTTATTTCCCCATGTGAATTTGTACCCTCTCATAGGAATCTCAAGCATTCCCATATTTGCAATAAATGAATTGAACCCCAAACAACTTGAGCTTGTTCTATTCCTCCCTCCACTTTTCTCCTGAGCAGAACAAATTTCATTCCAGTCACCAACCACATTCCATTTGTCCCCCCACCTCTCTTTTGCACTCTGCAAATATTCCCACTGCTCCTCTCTAAGTCTTCTATGAGTTCTAGCATAAACAAACACCATCCATTTTGGTTCTGAGCACATGTCTAGTTTGAACTCAACTTCAATACAAAATGTGTTCTTCACCATCTGGATAATAGTATCTTCTGTTCCACAGTAACATCAATCCTCCACTCATTCCCACTGGGTCTACAGCCAACCATCTATCCACAAAGCCAAGTTTCTTGCCCACAGTTCCAACAAAATCAGACAATTTTCTAGTTTCAGATAAAAAAACAAAAACTGGGTGATGGAGTCTTATAGCCTCCTTGAGTTGGAAAATTGTAGAGGGCCCACCCAGCCCTCTACAATTCCACAAGATTGTCTTCATTTATCACCTTGGGGCCACTCAAGGCTGACTTCCTCTACCTGTGATAATGCAGTTTTTATTTCTTTAGTGTTGAACTATCCTTATTATCTGCCTTAATCAGCTGATCTCCCTGCTCTAAACATTGTCTCCCTCTCTTTGGCTGAGAAGGAGACTCTTCACTTCCTTTGCTTGCTTGAGTGCTTTTGGGTCTGCTCTCTTGTTTACGGTTTCTCTTCCATGTTCTTGTTTCACCTTGCTTACTGCTGATATTGATAGCTTCCTCCTCGCCCATTTCTTCTCCAATTGGCAAAGAATTTTCCTCTTCCTCCACTTCCATTTCACCTTCAATTTCCTTTTCTGTATTCTCTACTTGTTTCTGTGAGAGCTTGATGGTCCCTGAAGATGATCCCACCAGGAGAGGTACAGTGGCCGAGGAGGCTTTATTGGCTGTACTGATTTGTGGTGCAGACTTATCCCTTTGCTCTCCTGTTTGTACTAGCCACCTCTGTTCTACTCTCAGATCAGTATCTTTCTTTCCCTGAAGATGGGGGAGAGAATTTTTGACTAGGTGATCCCCCTTGAGAATTAGAGTATGATTGGTTTTGAGAGCTATAGCTTCTGGCAAAATACGTGGCATCATTAGCTCTCAACCACTCCCCATACTGCCCTGCTAATACTGATTCACTCTCAATATCTGTTAATCTCTTCTTGCAGTCTCGATCTAGGTGACCAATCTTACCACAGTAGAAGCACAGGTTTACAAGTTTCTCATACTAAAAGATTGCACCAATCACTTGGTTGTGAAATTTAATGCTCGTGCCTCGGGGAATTGCTTCTTTTAGATCCAGTGTAACTAGAAGTCTGATATAATTCCCTTGAACTCTTCCTGTTTTCATCAGCATTACATTCTTCACCTTTTTAGTCAACCTCTATAGTGAGCCAATTGAGAGGGATATTTCGCACCTGGACCCATAAGTTGAGCTCTGTGAAGCAATCATGTTCAGCTGTGATGTCAACTCCCCAATCCCTTAGGATTAAATATTGGTTTTCATAGATCCAATGAATACCTGATGCGACTTTCTCTTTGTCCTCCTTGTTACCAAAGATGAACTGAAAGAAATTTTCCTCAAGTTCTCTGATTTCAACTGGTTCTCGAATCTGCCAGATAAGCCTCACAGTGCGCTTCAGACCAAAAAGCCCTGCTTTCCTTTCCCCTACAATCTTCCCCAGCAGGCTGTGATTACATTCCTCCATTCCAGCTTGTACGTCGTCATCTCCAATTTCCACCAGCTTCCCTTCTGACTTGGAAAGCGAGATATTTTTTAGTCTCCTTCCAAGCTCCTCCTCTAGCCCTCTTGGGTTGCTAGGTTCACCTTCCCCTTCCTCCATACACCCCTTATTCTCCTGGATTAAACCCTTAAAATAGCAAAAACTCAAAATCCCCAATTTAGACTGAACCCTAGAAAATCCAGCCAGAAAATAAAGAAAAGGAATCCCAAATCACGAAATGCCTGTAGTCCCAAAGTACACTAATGGCTAAGCCTCAACGCCAGAAAAAATTCAGACTCAAGCTGAAGAGAATGTTATGCTCTCACCAAGAGAAGGAAGGCTCAAGCCCTTTAAATATGTTTGATTAACTCAAAATTTGTTTGTCCGAACTCGAAAATAAAAATATTTCTATATTTTAATTTTTTTATTAAAATATTATGTGAAATATATAAATAACAAAATAAAATTATATTAAATCAATGTTTGCGAACATTATCGAACATTCACGAACGTGCTCGTGTTCGTTCGATTATTAAACGAGCCTAATTTTCTGTTCGAACTCGACTCAAAACAAACGAACGAACTTTTGTCGAACAAGAACGGGCTAGAACGAGCTTTTGTCGCGAACGTTCGATCGTAAGCTCTAACTATACCCTACCAATTTCGCTATATATATATATATATATATATATATATATATATATATATATAAAATAAGTATTAACATTTTAAATAGGTCAGAATTGAATGCAGTCTATAAATTGTAAGTTTTATTATTTTTCTTATTTTTTCTTTAAAATTCATACAACATTAAATGCTACCTTAAATTTCAGGCTATAGTTCATTTTATTATTTAAAAAATTCGGCTAAGATTTATTAAGTGTGTATGTTTTTATTTTTATTTTTTTCTTAGAAACAACGAACAAAATGAAAATCTCGGTCTCTATATTTATAAAATCTCAATTCAAAATATAACAAAAGTTTTAGAATCTCGGTCTTTATATTTGTGCCTTTAAAAAAAATTGAACGCTAAAAATATTCTTTAAATTGCATAATCAATCAATTAATCTTAATTTTTTAAAAATTACTATGTTTATTTTTTATTAATATGCATAAAGTAAAAATAATTAATTCATCTTAAGATATGTAATTTATAATCTTAATATACTACCATTTGGTATAGACATTTATTATATGAATCATAAAATATTTTTATTTCATAAAATTAAATGTATTTAAAGAAAATAAAAAAAATTCTTCGGATCAATCAGGTGATTGAATTAGGGTACTGCCCAGGTTGATTGAATTACTTTTAGGTGATATTTAAAATTGTCAAAAAACTTGACACAACTTGGTTGGTCCCAGGTGACTAAGTTTTGAATCAGTTCGATCACACCAAATCGATTATTGAACCTAAATATAAATTTTATATTGAAAAGATTTTATTACGTGAATGTGATGTAGTCCAAATTTCAAATAATCGTATTAACAATACTCTTATGACAAAATGTTTAATGATTTATGAATATTTATATACATTTTATTAATATTTATGTGAATAAAAAATGTTTTATTATAATATTTATTAATATACATTAAATATAAGGTTCTCAGAATTGGACCGTCATCGAAACGATCAAGCTATTTTATTAAATCATTTGTGGTTTGTTAAGATTTTAATTTATAAACATTTTAATATATATATATATATATATATATATATATATAGTATTTTTTGTAATAAATTTAAACAAAATGTGTTACTTAGATATTTAAAAAATTTATAAATTCAAATGTTTAAACTAATTGATAAATAATTTATAAATCTATATTTTATTTAAATATGTAATTTTATTTAAAATAATTTTTAAATATAATAAAATTTATTTAAAAAATCGTATCGATCCTACAAATCCAACTGACTGGTGTTGACAGATTCAAAAGCAAATATCTTATTCAAGTGAACTAGACTGGTTATCGGTTATCGCTTACCGAAGATTTGAAATAAGGGGAAAGCTTGGTTCGAGGACTCGTCCGTCCGGTCGGACTGTGTCCAACCTGATTTAATGTAAAAACAATACACATATCATGATTAATGTTATTTATATATTTAATTTATAATACAATTTTAATATTGTTTTCCCATGCATTGCACGGGCCACGCACTAGTCATGGCTACATAAAAATCAAATATCGAGAGGAGAACTTTTAGGTCAACTTGGTTTAGTCCAACTCATAATCAAAACTTGGTCAAAATGGAAAACTTTGAATGAGAGTGGAATCTTTCCCTATCACCCCACATGTCTATTTTCATTCATCTATTTACACAAGACCAAGAATAACGAGTAATTGAAATGCAAAGCATTTGCATTAAAATCTTTTAAAAATTTAAAAATATATGTTGTTTTTTAAATCTATTGTCGTCATGTTTAAGTGTACAAAATTTAGATTAATATTATACCGTTGATTTAAGTTATGTACAATTTCAACAAATTTGTCAATCCTGTAAAATAAAAAATATCGTGTTCATTTTAAAAGTGATTTGAAGTATAACGTAGTATGATCATTTAATATATTATTGTGTCAAATTATAAATCATCATTTATGTCACTATATTATGAGTCTAATAAATATGCTCACAAGTTAAGGTTGTTAAACTCGATTTTAATTTTTAAAGAGTCCTGTTTAACGAGCTCGATAGTCTTTTATCAAGTTTATATTCAAAAAGTTCACCAACAACTTTAATCATAGACAACTCAATTTATATTCAACTGTTCTCCTGTTATACATATCTAACGATTACATAGTCATAATTTTCATATATTCACACTTTCAAATTATACTACACTCTGAAAAACAATACAAATAAAATATACTATACTTATTAAATTGGCTATTAACAGCCCAACTCATCCAAGAAAAAAAAGGTATTAACACGGAATTTACAGTGAAAAGAAATAAAATAAAATAAAATAAATAAGAGTATTTAAAATAACACGGATTTCCCGATTGACCAGTCAGCCTTCGGCCCCTCACTATAAAAAGGACCCAAACACCACAAATTCGAACGTTGGACAAATTAAAACAACAACAACAACAACAAACGTTCGGAAAACAAAAGAGAAATAAAAATGTCTTCTTGCGCAGTGGCGATATCAAACTCGCCGGCCTTTTCGCCGTCGTCCTCCTCATCATCCATCTGCTCGCCCAAATCTTCTTCCCCACGCCTATTTCGGCTCCACAAGCCGATCGGTGGGCTCATCAAGACTTTGGCCGGTGGATCTGAGTCGTCTGCAGCGGCGGCGGCGGTTTTAAAGCGGAAAAGGCCGCCTAGGCTGGATATCCCGGCGGTGTTTCTAGGGGAAGAGAAGAAGTCGACAGAGGCGGCTCGGGAGGAGGTGGTGGAGGCGGAGGGAGAGGGGTATTCGGTCTGCTGTAAGAGGGGGAAGAGAGAGGAGATGGAGGATAGGTACTCGGCTGTTTTAGGGATTCAAGGTGATCCCAAGCAGGTAAATTTCTAATTCTATTTTTATTTAGAAAATTCTGATCTGTTGTTCTATTGTTTTGTATGTTGGGTTGCTGATAATCAGTGTTTGGATTTGGAGTTTATGAATGTTGTTGAAGTTCAATTCCATTCTAGAGGATGTGAATAAATATTTTGTGTGTATGCTTCTGAGAGAGGGTATGTTTTGAGTTTAAAAATCACATCTTGCGTCAATTGTTTGAACTAAATAGTTGGTTGTGTGCCCTTGTGTTGTAGCTTGTTAAAATTTNAAATGACATCTTGCAGTCGATTTTTGGAACTAATATCGACGGTTTTCTTATGGAAGAAGTCTATAGATATAAAATTTTATCTATTTATATGATGTTTCATTAATGTAAATGGGCATTTAATTCAGAAATACAAGAAAAATATAGGGTGCTCATTTTTTTGGTATCACGGTGCAGGCTTTCTTTGGTATCTTTGATGGGCACGGGGGCACAAAGGCTGCCGAGTTTGCAGCCGAGAACTTGAACAAGAACATTCTAGAACAACTTAATGCAAGAAAAGATGACAGCCAAATCAAGCTAGCCATAAAGGGTGGTTACTTGACCACCGACTCGGAATTTCTCAAGAGGGAGCTTCGAGGCGGGACATGCTGCGTGACGGCGCTAATTGCAAAAGGGAATTTGGTAGTATCCAATGCCGGCGATTGTCGTGCAGTAATAAGTCGAGATGGGGTTGCCGAGGCCCTCACTTCCGATCACCGTCCTTCCAGGGAAGACGAGCGCAACAGAATCGAGATGTTGGTAAGCACAAAAATATCCTTAACCAATGACAATAGCTTGAAATGAGAGTTTAAGTTTGGGAAGCTTGTCATATCGTGTATTTATTGAAACGGGCTTAGTGGATTTGATCGCTGGTTCATTTATTGCAGGGTGGTTTTGTAGAACCTCGCAATGGAGTTTGGAGAGTACTAGGGTCTCTAGCTGTTTCTAGAAGCATCGGGGACCAATACCTTAAACAATGGGTGACGGCAGAGCCAGAGACCGAAATTCTTAAACTTGAGCAAGAACACGAGTTCCTTCTACTTGCTTCTGATGGATTATGGGATAAGGTACTTGAAAATTGAAAAAAAAAAATGCTTGATTTTGTTGTTTGTGGTGGGAGGAAAGGATGTTTTATTTTTATAACTTTTTATTTTCTTTATTGGTTGCTGATTATTTGGTATTGAATTTCTCACAGGTGAGTAATCAGGAAGCAGTAGACATCGCTCGACCCCTGTGTGTAAATGTCGATAGACCTCAGCCCTTATTAGCATGTAAAAAGCTTGTCGAACTCTCGGTTACCAGAGGATCCATTGATGATGTAAGCGTGATGCTCGTCCAATTAGGAAGGTTCCATTTTAAGGAGAAAGTTTGAAGCAAAGAAATAACCTTAAGGGAGAAAGAAAATTTGAATTAGTTGAGGGTGGTCCATTCTTGGCCTTGTCGAGTTGAAGTCTGATTCTAAC